TGTTACTTCTTGTTTCATACAGCAATTGTAGCGATTTGATCATTGAGCTTTGCAGCTCTATCCCGCAGGCAGACTATTTGTCGAGTGAATAATGCGCATGCGCGGTTTTTCTTGGTGAAACATTCTAACTACGCATGCTTATGCAACAGGTTCTCTGTCAGAAAGAGTAACGGTCGTACATACAAACAAGCAGACTAATAGTATAGATTATTTACGCGTTAGTTACGAAACTTTTCGTGAAATAATGGTAATCATGTACAGTTAGCCAACAGGTAAATAAAAGTTTCTACAGTAAAGGTTATAGAAATATTATGAAGAGAATAAACAAAACAAGGACAGCAAAGGAAAAAGAAACAAATCTTTCTTCACGGTTATGTGTAGTGTATTTTATATACCAGCCGAACTATACTTATTCATTTTGATTTCAATAGCTACTGGAGCTGAGAGAAAAAAAAAAAGGCTCATAAACACACCTACACAGGACAGGAAGAAAAAATAAATTACATTAACCTACCGCACCAACTATTCCAAGTAACATATTCAAGGGAGATGACTCCCAATTCATAACAATTTGTACAAGAATCTGTATCACCCCTAGAGATGGTCTTGCCCCGCCCCAAGGAGTACACACAAACCCAATTGGTAGAAGCTTCTATGACATATGTGACATTTGCCTACGTTAAAGTATTAACAAACATATACAACCTTTCTAACATACAATTAACAACAATATAATAACTACATACAGCATCGACATTTAGAAAATTTACTCAAATTTATCTTACTACACATATATTCTAAACTAATTATGGACGGATAACAATTGTTATTTAAAAATAACTATGACAAATTAAATAACATGTTTACATCACGATAAGTAAGATTCGTTCAAATGTTTGTAAAAGGATCGTTTGTTTCTTATTAAGATACACATCTGTGCTCTTCCCACCTCAAGCTTACCACTGATCCACCGAGGGGACTGCAAAAGGAAAAACTGTTTGTAACATGGTGTTTTGTTTTCTAAACTAAGTAAAATTTACGTTGTTGTACTGTTATGTAACCTAGGTATTACCCATGAAACCTAGAAAGGCGTTAACAGCTTAGCATTGCAACTTCTCTCTGTCAGTTTTGTGATAGATAGTAGGCTTCACTTTGTAGAAAAAAAAATCAAAGCATTCTGCAAACCTTGTTTTCAACAAATATTTCAACTTTCTTATGATTTTAAATTAAATGTGTGTAGCCAATCCCGAGAGCATCACAAAGTCTGTATACTGGGGGGAGTGACGGTAGAAAAATTACACAAACTGAAAGTAGATTCTTAAAATGACCTTGACAGTTTTAATGTAAATTCGTGTAACCAGTTCTGATATACTCCATCACCACCCTCCATCTGGGAATTACAAAAGTTGGAAAACTTAAACGTGGTTACTCATTTTGAACAACTCCTTACATATCCATTGCAATTTTCATAGATTCAGAGCCACAAAAATTATATTTCAAAATTGTTTTTGATTCTATTTTGAAGTGCATAAAGTGACCCTAAATGCAAAGTTCAAGTCGTTATGTCAAACTTATGGAAGAAGTTCAAAAATCATACAAACATAAGCAAAATAAATTGATTGTTTTGTAGTTAAGCGCAAAGCTACACAAAGGGCTATCTGTGCTCTGCCCACCACGGGTACAGAAACCAGGTTTCTAGTGGTGTAATTCCGCAGACATACCGCTCTGCCACTGAGAAGCAGTAAAATAAATAATTACAATATAAATAACAAATGTTACACCAAAAGAAAACTTTTAAAAGTATATTTTTGCATACAACATCGACCCATTGTTATTGAAACAGCCAATGGTCACAGACTGAAAGCTGTTCTAAAAAGTTATCAAAAATATCAATAAATACATGAACTTGCTAGTGGAAGATTGTTTTTATTAGAAAAATTAATTGTCTTTACAAAATCGTATACTATTGTTCACAAAACAACGTATTGACATATTCAGTATCTCCAGCATGAAATTATTTTATGTTTATAATCGTACTTTTCTCTATATCTGGTACTATAACTTAAAAAACTGAGGTCTAACTCCTTTCTATAACCAGTATGGCAAAGTAAAAGAGACAAAGGTTGGAGAGCCTAACTCCTTTCTATAACCAGTATAACAAAGCAAAAGGGACAGAGGTTGGAGAGCCTAACTCCTTTCTATAAACAGTATGGCAAAGTAAAATGGACAGAGATTGGAGAGCCTAACTCCTTTCTATAACCAGCATGGCAAAGTAAAAGGGACGGAGGTTGGAGAATCTAACTCCTTTCTATAACCAATATGGCAAAGTAAAAGAGACAAAGGTTGGAGAGCCTAACTCCTTTCTATAACCAATATGGCAAAGTAAAAGAGACAAAGGTTGGAGAGCCTAACTCCTTTCTATAACCAATATGGCAAAGTAAAAGAGACAAAGGTTGGAGAGCCTAACTCCTTTCTATAACCAGTATAACAAAGCAAAAGGGACAGAGGTTGGAGAGCCTAACTCCTTTCTATAAACAGTATGGCAAAGTAAAATGGACAGAGATTGGAGAGCCTAACTCCTTTCTATAACCAGCATGGCAAAGTAAAAGGGGCGGAGGTTGGAGAATCTAACTCCTTTCTATAACCAGCATGGCAAAGTAAAAGGGACAGAGGTTGGAAAGCCTAATTCCTTTCTATAACCAGTACGGCAAAATAAAAGGGACAGCTCTAACAGCCTATTTTGTTAGTTTGACATTTTCTAATAAAAGCGTTTCGAATACCTTTTCTTAAGTTTAATACAGCACTGGGCACGGTCCTAAAATGTACTGAAAATTAACTCATAGCAAAACACGCAGTTAAAACTTGGTAGATTTTTCTTTCAGCGCGAAGCTACACAAAGTGCTATCTACGCTCTGTTTAACACTGAACCATCGGGGACTAAGAAACGAATATCCAAAACCTATCAAGCAAGGTTGTGATCCTGTTTTATGGTAAAAGGACAATGACTAATACGTTAATTATTTATACACATGCTGTAAAGAAAAAATCAACACGAACCTTCAGGACTACGCATACTTTCTACTGAAACTATCATCTGGTTTGCTCTTTGAAATTTATGAAGAAAAACAAGTTGTAAGATACAATACAAAGATAAGTTTTCATTTGTAACTCGATTCTAATAGAGATTATTAGTTCAATTTCCATGGTCCTACAGCATCTATAAATAAAGTGGGATCAGCAGTTACTGTTCCCATACAACTTAAAGTGTCGTAATAGAAATGGATTTTTGTAAATCAGTTTACTATAAACGGTGCCCCTATACCTGAGAGCCATTAAATGTACTTCTTGTTATGCTGAAAGCCAAATTTGAAAGGCCATGGATCAAAGTAGGAAGTGGGCTATTTGTGCTGTGCCTATCACGGGTATCGAAACCCAATTTTCAGCGTTTAAAGTCTGCAAGCTTACCGCTGAACCACTGGAAGGCAAGCCATTGAAAAGCGTACGATATGAAATTAAAATCCTCTTTCTAGGTAGTATTATCATCGTGGCAAAAAAAACAGTGTTGCTGAGACTAAATCGTGTAATTTATAAAGTTTATACCACTGCAATTCTAGACATTCACAAATTTTCATAACTTGAAAAACTTAGGTGATAAAATTGTTTCGTACCTTATCGAAATTACGAAGTCGATATAAACAATGGTAAAGTGAAAAAAAAAGCGTTACATTGTTATATATATGTTTATATACATATACATATATATATGCACGCAGAAATTAAGTATATACAATGAGTTTTACGTGTTTTAAAACATGATGCCTTTCATTTTCGTATACGGCATTTCTATTTGTATTTACGGCACGACTACTGTCTCTAATTTACAACTACTGACCATAAAAAAGGTAAAGCCAGTTAGCAGCACTACCAGACGCGCTATGGGACTGGCTGTCACTCATGTAACGCACCTAAAGCTTAAACGTGGGTGGAATAATTTGTGGTGTGACACACATTCGAACCCGGTCGCCTGCGCCCTCAACTTATTTTGAACAGCCTCAAAAAAAAAGTATGTGGATATTTATTTAATTCAGTAAACTAACAGAAAATAGTAAACAAGTCCGACTTGCAAGATCTTTTTCTGCTCACCCTCAGAAACTTGTACTTACAGATTGTAGGTGAAATTTTCTTTAAAGACAGAATTTGAAAATAAATCAAAAGTCGTGGATCATAAGTTCTTTATAATCATCATGTATATGAACCCAACAAATCTGCGATACATTATTTGTCATCAGGCATACATAGATTTATTGTCTATCAATTACCTATTCATTTTGAAATTACGTCAAAAACGTCAATATTACCAAATTTACTGAAAACCCTCCCCGGTTATCCGTACTGAAAACAAAAACAAACATTATTCTGCATGTTAACAAGACATTAATTTTATTACAAAGCAATTTAAAGGCCTTACAAACAGTATACACATTATTTACATACTGAACTTTACAGATGGTCCATATGCCTCATACGGGCAATTTCGTTTGCTTCAACTTAACTACTTCATCCACTTACGTGAGTGTGAAATTGCCACTGCAAATATTCCCAGAGAATGTTTGAGAATCAAATCACATATCATGTGTATCTAGAAACATTAAATACGACATGACATTATAAATGCAACACATTTAACACTATTTGATAAACTGCTTTCATGAAGAGAAAATTTTAATTTTTCAAACAATCAGTACTCATAATAATGATAATAATGCATATTTCAACTGCCAAAAAATAAATACGTAAATCATACGCTTTTTTCAGGCGTAAAAACGTTTATACCGAACTTGGATAGAGAAGTAACTATTAATACAATATTACAATGACAGGGGTATTAGAGTTTTTTTTATAAATACAGAGGTTAACCATTGGATCCTTACCTTCCTGTAAGGAACAGGTGAGCTGCTTTATTTTAGCATTATAAAGAAGTTCAGCAAAATACACCGAGACTAAATTGTTCTTTGCGGTATAGTTTAATATTACAAGACAATTTGATTACTGAATTTACTAGAGTTAAACATAAAAACTAGAGATTAGGCTCAATATACATCAGAAATAAACAAGGATTTTATCAGGTGGCTAGTGTCCCACCATTCATTTTAAAACATTTGTAAACCCAAAACAGTCACTATAAAGGAGGAATTTTTGAGTTTCAATTAACTACTAAAATTGACTGGGCAGAATTGCAAAGCAAGCATAAAGCACACGCGAAAATCATTTTTCTCCTACACCAACGTATATAATACGAACTAAATTTCCACTTTGTTACACAGTTCATAAAGAAAATTAAGCTCTCAACAATAAGTGAATGCTAAGTGTGTCAAGTTTATCTTATCCTTAATATCCTGTGGTACTGACTTCACAGTTGAATTCTTAACGATACAGCCTGGCCAATTAATTACTAATATTCACAAGTTCAATTTTCATTAACTTTCATAACAATAATCCAATAATCTGAAACGTGCTTAAATAAAGATATGACAAATGATGATTTGCACACTAGCACAGTCCATGAAATATTACTTAAAAACTACATATCTGGAACCAAGTATATATTTAAATATACAATGACAAAAAGTACTGGTTTTGCTTTTAAACATACTGATACATTTAATAATTATCATTTTGGAATGGTGTTTAAACCTGAAGGAATATTATTCTTAAAAACAACATATAAACAACTGTTGAGGAAAATATCTGGAAACGTCAATTTTGAGATACGGTGTATCCAACATGAATTAACCTGTATTCTTTTTACCATAATCCATCATGTAAAACTTTCCACATAAAAATGTTACTTCAAGTTTGGAATTTATGATCACAAGTGTTACTTTATCTTCAAGATCAGTGATTTCAGGTTTCTAACTTTCAATGTCATTTTGTCGCTAACAAGTGTTTCTAAAACTTTAAATGAAGATATCAATAATGTATTATTTAATGTTTCTTATACAATTATGAATCAAAATCCAACAAACTGTTTTAATTTGTTACAAGGTAAACTGCAAAAGAAGCAGAATAATTAGTAACGCAAATCACCAGAAATAAGACCCATTCTCTAGTTGGTTAATGAAAATCCTGCACTGAAAAAAAAAAATGATGTAAAATATTAGTCTGTCATTTTTTCTGGATGAGAATCTATCATCTAAAGAATAATTAATCATCTTCAATACATATAAAGTTCAGATTTGTGATAAATCAAATGTTATGGTAGTTACAGAGACAACAAAAATTAAATGGCCAATAACTTGCAAACACAGATAGCTAAAAATATGCAAAATACAGTTGGAATGAAAATAATGTACACACACAATCTTTCATACTATATACACAACAGATATCATCTTTCACATATTCATTTTGGTCCCTTTAAAAAAATAATCTTCCATACTCATATATATAAATATATTCAGTTCTTTACAACCACTGCACAGTAGGAAACCAAGCTTTATCTTCGAGTTGGTTCATACTATTCCTAGACCAAATATTTACCTTCAACACTGATTTTGTAAATATAATCAATAATGAAGTGATTTTTTTTCCATTTGTAATGTTTAAATATTCATAATGGAATGAATCCACAGACTTCTGTTTCCAAAAACACCAAGGAAATTGAAAAACCACTTTGTTTATATGTTTAAAAAGTAATATCTTTATCTATTTATAATGTGTTTAAAAAGTATCTTTATTCCTGCACAATACATGCTACTTAGAACTAGACATGTTTCATTTCCTTGAAACTGATTAACTGTTGACCAAGGCACTCACTAAACTAGTACTACTCTTGTCCTGACAAATACCCAAGTTCAAGCACTTGATAACATTATTTACAATGTTTATTACCACTGTCAACTAAAGTTATATCAAGTGAGCATGTGTATAACTTGTCATTCTAATACATAAAAAATGTTGCTACTGTACTAATCATTCTAAGTTCATCACAACTTGTAGCATCTACACATAAGAGGTTTATTCAGCTAATATCACTTTTTTTTCTAAAGATTCACACCACATATTTCAGTGCTTTAAAAATGAAGCTGTAGCTTGATTAAATCTTCTTAAAACTATTGATTTTATTTCCAAAGTTAAAAACTTATTTCATAAAGACTATCTTAATGAGGACATGTAAACATTATTTCTATTATCTAAATAAGATAATTTCTTAACCTTGAATTGTACATTTTAAAGTAATTTAAATCTAGTACTTGTAACAACTTGTAAACTGGTTAATTTTCTCTTTCCTAGTTACTATTTAACTGTAATCTGAGAATACATACTTTTGTGTATTCTTCCCATTTCATTACACTTCAAAAAGCCAAGATGCTAAGTAGTTCAAATAATAAGTTGATAACTTAACATTAAAATAAACCATTAACGTACAAAAATTATAAAACATGATAATTTCATATTAACAGATTAGGTGATTATGTTCAAAATTTTTATTTTGCAGAGAAAAAGGAAAAACTCTTAAAGGCCCAGTTAAGACATAAGACACCTAACAGTGTCCTTTCTGTATACATTTCTGATCAAGTTGAAATGACAGAAGACTTCTGACAGCTTTTACCCTACACTGTGTGTTTGATAAAAACTGTCTTGATGTGATGGAAAACTGGGTCAGTCGCATTTTCATTTTAAGCCTATAACCAAATTTTTGATCTGTAAATAACTTTAGAAAATATTAGACTAAAAATATAACTGGAGAACATTCCTTGTGATTCAGAATGAATTACTAACAAGGACTCCATGCAACCAACTGAACACAACTTATTACCACAGAATGAATCCAGCATTATCAGACTAAGACAAAAACAGGGGAAGTACTTTAAAAACACGAGTAAGACAAAATCCCTGCACAAAATATTACAAGTCATTGCTTTCATAAAAAAACAACTGAAGTTATAACTCTACCAAACCTGTACTTTATGAACTTCATTATTTCAAATTGTATTCACTACACTGCTAGTTTTGAATATCTATCTATATTCATCATAAAAATACAACCAAGTAAACGAATATCACCCAATGTTTACTACTAACATTTACACCTATAATAATGTGCAAGTCACCTTTTATCACAATTTTTCTCCACAGTGATTCTCTCTCTCAGTCCATTACATACAATTTTATAGAACTCTTAATAATAGCATCTTAAAATACTTTGCAAAATAATATCTTTAAATCTAACCCCTGCTTTTATATTAGTTTTTCACAAGCTTATGTGCAATTTACATAAATATAAAATTAACCACAAGATTCAAAAAATATGCAGAAAGCGTGTCAAGAGTGGCATTTTTAGTCTACCTAATACAGCCTTTCAAAGCTATACTTTAGAAGTAAATATTTTCTTACAGGCCACATGATAGGTGCAAGAACAATTTAATTAGTTATTTCCTCCAGATGTCTTACAGTCTATCATGAAATGTTATCTGGCTACTATGCTGGGCAACTGACCTTCTAAAATATATTTCCTACAGTGTTATTGCAGTATAAAATTTATCAAGCACAAAACTCGAAGGAACAAGAGTAAAGAACTTTAGAAAATCTACGACAACAAATATAACTGAAAAATATTTCTTGCAAGAGAAGACAGAATTACTACAATACTTTAACTGTTTACTCATTCTGAAGGTACTGTCAGTCTTTTATATTATACACATTTTATTATTGTATTAGGAAAATTAAATTTTTTATGGTGAATTGTCAGTCTTTTATATTATACACAGTTTATCACTGTATTACCAAAATTAAATTTAAGTTCCAATTGTTGTCGGTTGTTTCCCATTCTTAGTTCTTTTTCGAATATTAGTCAGAAGTGAAAAGATTCATTTAATATTCTATAATTACACTGTTGTTATTATAAAAGTTGTTAATTGCAACCAATATAAAATTACACAGTTTAAGTTCCTTGTAATACAGACAAGTTACTATACAATATTTCAATTTCATAAAAATATAGTAATTATTACCATATGAATTAAAGCCAGAGAATATTCCAGAAAGAAAGGAAAATAGGAAAAAAGCAGATACTAAGAGATATTTACTGTGACATTATCTTAAGATTAAAGAAGGTTGTCTCAGGGTTAGCAACATCTTTGATGAAATGGTAGTTTTGCAACCTGGTACAAAAAATTAAAAAGAACAAGTTTCAAAAATATAAATATTGACTTTTTACTTATAATATCTTGTTCGTACACAAACATAAAAACCGGAAATGATGGCATGTCTATTAGGCCAAATTATGCAACTCAACAGATGCACAGGCAAAAATGAAAATGTCTTTTATATTTGTAATTTTATTTGTTTTATCAAAAAAATCTTATTTTTTCCCCAAGACCAAGTGGCTACCACTTAAAGAATGATGACATAAACACAAGCCTTTAAAGTTTTAAACAACAATTCTATTTCATGTACTTTCTGTGACTGTCATATTGAATCAAGGCTTCACAAAATATGAAAGATTGCAATCTTAAGACTAGTAACACACATACACACAAACTAAATTATATGCCGCCGCTGCCACCACCACCCCTCAAATCCCTGAGACTCAGAAGTATATGGTAACAGGCCAGAAAATGAGCTTGACTATGGCCTTCAGAACCAGCTGAAAGGCTTAGACACTTAGCAGAGTCCCAGGAAAGCTACTTCTCCAAGAACCTTTTTTGTAAAAGAATACTAATTAGCAGTGTGGTAAGTTAACATGGCAAGAGGAGAGTGATGCTTCTTAGGCCACTTTTTACCACAATATAACAAAGAGGTCTCTTTATGAAACATTGGCCAAGAAGATAAGGAAATTTAGAAAACAACAACAACCCAAAAACAACACATTTTAATACTGTCATTATTTTGTCATGAGCAGCTATTAAAATGTCAGCTGTTCAATAAGAAATATGATTCAGTCAAAATTTCTCAAACATTTAATACAAATATTTCTTCCACCTCCTACAGGCAGAGGTTTGGCACCATGCTACTATGAAACCTTCAAATTGCAGATTTATTGTGATACAAGTGCTTCTTCAGACTGTTACAGTTTTCTCCAGCACCATTAGAGATACACTTGATATGGTATGAATACCTCACAATTTCTAACAAGAGAAATTTCCACACTGCCAAGAAATCTTCAGATTGGCTCATCAAAATGTAAATATTTTTATATTGCCAGGAATCCTTCATTTGCTGCCTGGAGAAATTAGACATAATGCTAAGACATTTCAGAATGTATCCTGCAAATGTACATATCTGGAACATTGACAAGACTTCTTTAGATTCCTAGCTGGACAGGTCTAACAATGCACTAGGACATCTTCAAAGTGTTCATTGTAAATATTTTAGCTTGGAACATCATCAAGACATCTTCAGACTTCTAAAATTACATGTACATATCTTAAATATCACTAAGATATATTCATATTATGTTTGTAGTTCATCAAATTTTAAAGACATCTCCAAATGTGCAAATTTAGTACTGTGCAAAATACTCCACAACTGTTAAGCACGACTATTTGGCACAAAGCCAGGAAGTCACCAGGATGGTAAATATGTAGTTATAACAGAGTGAGAAGAAATCTTCAGATTGCTACGTTAGTAAAATACATACAGTATGTTTAACAAAAACACTGTATTTATTAGTCTTTCTTTATCAATCAAAATTGAACTGATCCAGCTGGAAGGCTAGTATTGCACAGTCTATAGTAACGGATGTCATTCACAAGCCTATGGATGCTTTGAGTAAATGAAGGAAGATCCTGGAAGTTGAGAGAAAATACCTCAATTAGTAATCAGAACTTTTTTCTATTAATACTAAAATTAAACCTGTTTCCAGAGCATATTAAGTTTGATATGACCTGATTCTAAAACCAAATTTTCTCCAAATGCTAAAAAATATAGTTTTAATATACATATATATAAATATATTGACTTCATAGATATTTAAAGACTAGTTTGATTTTTCTTAAGTACCAAAATAACAAAGAAAAATAAACACACAGACTTTAGATTTAATACTAATTGAAAGCTACACCTGTTCAAAATATTACTTCAACAGGATAAATGAAAAGTTATTAAACTACAGTGCAAATAACTGAAATGTTCATAATTACTATGATTATACCAGTTCAGTTTTATTAAATACTGATGTAATAGTTCTACAAGTCATTTTGCACTAGGGCAAATTATTGATCAACCATTTAAAAAACTCAGTCTTTTAAAAGACATATATGATACTTCAGAAAAAAATGGCAAAACTAAAGAGGTTATGACTGATTTCTTGTGTGTTTGAAGTTCCAAATTTTCACTACCAGCTTTTACTGAAATACATTAGAACAGTAACTCTTCTTGGTTAAGCATGGATCCCATAAATTGTCTGGTTGCTCAGGTGGGTTGTGAGTTGGGAAACCCTCGTATTGAGCCACTGGTCTATAAAGATGAAGTAGGCAACCTAGTGACTAAGCAAAACCAGACAAAAAACGATATGCATTCAAACCAAATGTAAGTATGTAAAAGCTTTGACAGCAGAAATTTTAAGACAAATAGATATAATGTGGTTGATACATAAGTAAAACCAGACATGAATATGTAACAGAATTAAACTTACCTAAGCAAAATATTTTAAACTTGAAATTAGCAAACACTTTCTGCTTTTCATTACAAAGTATTATTTATCAATAAAAAAAAGTTATTTTCTTTGTTTAAGCTTGTTACCTAAGCAAATACTTAAACTTTGCCTTTTAGTTGCAGTTACCTTATGACTTCAAGTAAATTCATTGTGAGGCCATAATCTAATTATACAAGTCTTATAACAAAACAACTGTAATAGAACTAAAGTTACTAATGAAAACAAAATCTAAATTATATATTATCATTCAAATACCAAAAAACATTTCATACCGTATCCATTTTGAACTCTCTGTTCAACAGATTTTTCTGATTATTGTCAATGCCATCGAGACTTGAAAGGAACTGAGGCAAAAATACATGATAGAAGTTAGAGAAGTCTACAGATGCCATATTGTAAATTGTTATCCCTATCTCTTCTTGCAGGAGATCATGAGACTTGTGCACTAAAACTTGTAACAGGACATTCAGGAACTGGTTCAACATTTCAGATCTGAACAAACCCTAATTGTAAAATTTCAGTAAATTATTCATAATTCATTAAACTTTCAAATAACTTGTAATACACTTTTCCTTTCTAGCAAAATTTAAGTGAGCAACATATCAAACTAAATCCACCCTGATTCAACAGTGAAATAAATCAGTGACAAAGAAAATTCCCTCAACAATTGTGTGTAACAAATATCTTGTTTTTTACAGTTCTAAATCATAATACACACTATAATAAAAACAAGTTTACTTCCTGCACACTTCACCACAGAAGAAAATTTTTATAATAGCATTACAAACATAACTTTACTCTCACCTTGCTGTATAGCTTCCACTTACTGTGAAGATTTTCCAAGGCTTCTAGGTTTTGACGAAAGATATTAATATCAGACTGCAGAAATGACTGTCCATAGGCCTAAATTAGAGGAAATGAACTTTATAGATGTTTGTGATATGATACAAATTCATTGTGTTGAAAACGCATATTTTTAATATAATAGAAAATGTTATTATTGGTGTACACAAAATACTAAGTAATAACGTATCTTAAAGAATCTTGAAAAATGAGATCAAGTTTAAGGTTAAATTTACATAAACCATGAAAAAGAGTACCTCTTTTTAGTCTTTTGTTCACCCCTACAGGAGATCCAGCTACTCGTGTTCTCACGTAATCATAAATTAATATTCAAACCACTTTATTTACTCTGCCTTAAAATAAATAGTTTATACTCTGTTATTTCCAATGATATTTAAACCATTTTCTATACCTAAGTTTCATTAGTAATTGTTCAGACCACATGCTATGAGATCATAAAAGGGTGGTAATGAAGGGTTGTGGTAATAAAACCACTAACAGAGAGGGAAAAGCATAAGAAACAAGCCAAGAATAATTATAATCTCAAGGAATGAGTTTCTTAGCAAATATAAACCATCAATACCAGAAATAAATGACCTCATAACATTAAATTGTTGTTTTTATTTAATTAGACACTCAACATTTTGCTTTACAGCTTCTTCAGGAGCATTCAATGAAGAAGCTGTAAAGCAAAACATTGAATGTCTAATTAAGTAAAAACAACAATTTGGTGCTATAAAGTCATACATTTCTAGTATTAATGTCTTCCATACACCAATGTACACAACAGAAATTAAATAAATATAAACCTATACTTTGGGATGGACAAAAACTTCTAAAAAAAATCAATAACTGCACTGTTTACATGCTAAACTCCTCAAAGAAATACAGAAATGAAAGTTGAAACACCGTTTGATTTTTCTTTGCATATTATACTGAATAAATGTTATATAAAAATGAAACTATCAATTCTGAAATATCTCCAAGTTAGAAAATTTTTGAAATTTTGATATACAGTACACACTAGACACCTAAAAGGTGCTCACTGGTCCAAATATGGTTAACTTAAAATCATATCTGCCTGAATAATTCAAATGAAGCCTATGAAGCCAGCAACAGAAATATCACTCAAAAGTTACATATGTATCTTTCCATGTCAAATCAGTTTATTGAAACAGGTACTAAAGTACTTAAGAAAAACGAGAGAGAGAGAGAGAGACTGGAAATAATTGTAAATGGCCTAATAGTTATTCCAAAATGTACAACCAAAACTTAACTTGGGTAATTTTTTTTTTTTTTTTAGTTAATCACACTACTTTGTTTCATATTACTATTATTATAAAGACACAAACAAGTACATTGTTTATAAATTAAGATATATTCTCTGTCCTATCATGAAAACCATAATTTTCAATTATTGTGTTGAAAATATTTAAGCATCAAGTTCTGAGCATACTGACTTGAATGAAACAATTTTTTAAGCAAGTAGACTCTAATTTGTAACTTAACAAAAACATACAGCCATGATCTTAGTAAAGTGTTCCCTATTTTCAACCACTTCATTTCCTGCTTGTCCTAAAGAATCTACTACACTGGTTTTGAAAAAGTACTTCCAGTTGTTGAGCAAAAGTTGGTATAAAAGTTCAAAAAGTGCCTGTTTCACTTCTGGAGAGGGCCTCTAAACAACAAAAAATGTTTTGTCAGTAAGTTCTGCAAAAAGTTTAAATTTTGTTTTAATTACATATAGAAATATCACAAACTATACACACACACATATATAGAACATTACAATAGGCAAACTAGGATTTGGTGTAGTTGAAAGATTGTACATTAACATTCAATAAAAACATCAGCTATTTTTTACCACCACATTACATAAGGCATGCTAGAAATACCACTCTTTTGTACATTTACCTCATATCATAATTATCATATAAAGTTAATAAAAACTTGATCCTCTTTTGAATTTCCTATATAATTATTCATATTTCATTTTAGTAAAATTAATGATTATTACCTTATAAAAACATTACTCCATCTTGACTTTCAGAAACAAACATAGACAAGTTGACAATGATATCATCTTCACATAAATTAGCTAATTTTGATATGAAGAAATATTGAAGGTCATACTTTTACTAGTGGTACAAATATTGAAGGTCATACTTTTACTAGTGGTACAAATATTGAAGGTCATACTTTTACTAGTGGTACAAATATTGAAGGTCATACTTTTACTAGTGGTACAAATATTGAAACCATTTTCAAAACCTATGTTCTTTGATATTAAAATTTATGTAATTCCACAATTTTTTTACATATATATACACAAATAGAAGACCAGTAAACTATTTCCAATAGTAACAGACTGTTGACTTTAGGTTTTATGCAAGTTCAGCAACCTTAAGATACAAAAGGTAAATAACTTTAAACTGTTTGATCTGTGGAAATCTTTAGCAGCAAATTAGCTTTTTGGTACATAAAAAACTTTATTATTATGTATGAATATTCATAGACTCAAAATTGTAATAAAACCTAACATGACTGTTTAGTTTCATCTTTAAGAACTGGGAAACCTAAACTTAATGGTGAGAATTAACAAAAATTATTTGAGAATTAACTTTACATTTTAAAAACAAACAATAACACTTTCATCTAACTTCTTATATAACCAGGAGTTCTCGTTATCCATATTTCTGAGCATTAAAACCACTGACATAAGGTTTAGCACAATGGACAGCAGATGTTGAAGTTTCGCAATTACAAGATGATCTCAATATTCACCATATGTATATTTCCAATAAATAGGGAGTAAAAAAGAAAAATATTTATTGGGATTACAACATCTGTGAAACTCATAAAACGAGCTTAAAATTTATATTTACGTATTTAAAATAAACAAAATTTTTAAAAATCTTGTTTACGGCCAGTCACATTTCTGATTATTACAACTGTATATCTAGTCTGATGAGTAATATTCTTCAAGTACACTTTGTTAAACTAACTTAATCTAAAAATATGGATCAATCCATTTGGACCTATATTTTTACATTGCTGTGAATAGAGAAATTCATCTCTCAAAAATTCTATCTTAGTTTCTTTATTGCAGCAAATGCTTATTAGTTTATACCAAACTAGCAATAATCGAACTGTGGAATTTCAATATTTCCAACAAGATACTTAATATAATTTAAATACTTTATTTTTCTTCATCACCAGAAATTGTCTCATCCATGTAATTTTCAGCATTTCTCAAAGAAAAAATATTTATGAACAGTTAAAAAAAGTTAATAAAGATTATAATAATATAACATATTTAATAGAAAATTTCTGGCACTGAGTACATCAGAATATAAACTGTCTTAAATAGTACAGATTTATGGTATAGCATTTATTAGATAATCATAATATATATATATATAAACATACATACACATATACACTGAACATAGCAATTATTAAATAACCATGGTATACCAATGATATATACTGAACACTAACATTAAAGATTTCTTGGTATGCATACCTCAGCAATTACAGGATAAATCTGGTCCATACACAAAGTTATTGTACTCGGAATAAAAGTCTTGAATGCAGAGCCAGGTTCTTGTATTACTTTTTCCAGAAGATTAAGAAACCTAAAGAAAAAAAGATTTTCAATTTTATATCATTAATGTAATTTAGTTCTACTTTCAGATACTAAGCACTGAAAAGATAACAATGACATGAGAAACTTGATACATATTGTATTTGCAGTCAAAATTATTTTCTATGAAGCATATAGTAATAGGAATCTCAATACTTAATTTCTGTTTAAATATTTTTATGTCTGTCATTCTTCAAGTCTATCCAGCAAACAACACAACATCAGCGAAAATACAGAATTTCTCCCAATGGTATTTTAATTACTGTCAAATATTACTTAAGTACTCTGAGCTCAAAAAAACTTAATTTTATTTACTGATTATGATTTAAAAAAAATGTACATTAAAGTTAAGTGTACAAAAAATATGTACTGCATATGTATTTGTTTTTCCGATCTTTCTGTTTTAAAAGAAAGGTTTGCACAGCAAATATCACAGCTTTATTTTCTTAACTTTACAACTCAATAGTATACTCTCTTGCAACAAACATTAATTATATAGAACTTACCTCCAAAATAATTGCTTGTAAGATTATTTTCAGCATTACATTATCTCACATAGTATTTTAGTTTAAACTTTGACTAAAACAAAAGCTTCACAATTTTAATCAATTATCTCTGAAATTAAACAAAACATATTTTTTATTAATTAGTAATTAATGATGTCCGACATGCAATTGTCAACATTTTGTGGGTTGATTAAACACTACTATTGCTTAAAATTTTACTAAGTTTAAACAGCAGAAAAAAACTGGGTTTACAAAGCTCTCAAATTTACATGAACAAAGACTAGATATTTTTGTAAACATATTAAGAAAATACATTTATATTTGTTTGTTCAATTTTGCACAAAGCTACTTCAGAGCTATCTGTGCTAACCATCCTTAATTTTAAAGTGACAGACTACAGGGAATGCAGCTAGTTAACATCACCCACCACCAACTCTTGTCAGGCCAAACAGTGGGATTTGGCCATCACCTTTATAATGCACCCATAGCCTGAAAGTGTGGAGTACATTTCTTCTTGTGATAATAGGAAACAAAGCACAGAACCACAAATCCACAGCCTAGTATGCTAACCACTGGGAAGATATATATATGTAAAATACTAATTTATTCAATAATTACCTGAATAAACATTAAAAAAACTAGATATGAAAAATCTCAATACTATAGTTGTTAAAACATAAATTATAGTCAATTCCATATATATTTTTATATAAAAAAAACACTATTTTGTGAAAAATATATAAACTTGAAGCTCATTTTGGAGATTGATGCCAGAAAAAGTACTATCAGGCTTGAAGGATGAAGGGTTGTTCAATTTTGGGAAGAAAGACAACTTACTTTTCAACAACTCTGCAACCAGCACTTCTTTCATGAGTTATGCACCCTGACAATAACTGTCCACTATACAAAAAACAAAACATAACAATGCTCTTCTTACAATAAAAACTAAATGTATGCAACAGAAAAATATATATATATATATGTGTATATATATATATATATATATCATAACACATCTGCAGTCAACTGTGATACTTCATCACGTGTGTTAGGGCTACTAAATTAATTATCTATCTGGCTTTAATAAATTTGATATATATTTATTTTACTTACAAAAATTTTCCATTCAAATTGACAATGTTTTAAAATTTTGATACGAGAACAACTTGTATGCTAGTAAAATTATCTTTACATACACTTTTGTTTAATAAAAAAACTATTATAAAGTATCAGTTTAATCTATAAGTGCTTTGAGATGGCTTCCATTATATCTATAACTAAAACTAATTAACATAATTTACATTTTCATATATTTTTAAAAAAATTTATTTGATTGTTCAAAACATTAATAATAGTCATGCTGTTTTTTAAAACTTGGTAAATATGAATGTCATAATCCTTCAGTAAAACTCATAAGCTCAAGTTAACTCCAATTATTATGAAACATTTAAATTTTTAATTATTATGTAAATAATATTGCATCATAAAAATGTATGAAAATTATTATTCCTAAAAGGTCAGACTGAAGTCAATCAAAAATTTGCCATGACAACATACAGGTGAAATAACAGTTCAAGAAGTTTCAGATAGTGTAAATAATTTCCTTAGACATATTGCAAGTTTGTTACAGATTTAATTAAATAATACAAAAAGTCTATATTAAATCAACATGCTAACAAACCTGGAAAAAAGACTCAAGAAAGTCTGAATTGTTTGTTCTGCAAAAGGAAGTCCCATCTGACTTCGAAGAACTCCAAACAGGACCAAAAATAAAGCTAAAATGTCCTCACTCAGATCTACAAAAGTAAATATGAAAAACTTACCAAGTAGTTAATGCAAGTATTAATATAGTTAGCTAAGAATTAGGCTTAAAGTCATAGGCATTTTTACTAAACTAACTTCATTCAAAGACTAATTTATTATAGTATAAAAAAATCAATGCCAAAGTGCATTCTCTTAGACTTTTATTCAGGAATTCTCAAACTGTGGTTTGTGAGCTCCCATCAGGTAGTGCATGGAAAGGTTGCATGGTTATGGAAAGAAAGCAGAAGCATAGTGAATATATTCCATTGCTGTCCACAGAGATTTTAAGAAAAAATTCAGGAAGTCCTCAAAGAAAAAAAAAACGTTTCTCTACACCTTAACCATAAAGCTTTCACACAATTCTAAAGATGAACAAAAAAAAAAAAAACACCAAACAATGAATTTGTTCTCAATGTATTATTTTAAATCATGAAATATGTCTCCTACTAATATTACTTGAGGTATGCCTATTAATATTAGAGAATTTTAGGATTACAAGTCATTCAAAAGTAAAAAAAATTAGATTGGATATAAAATCTTTACTGAAATCAAATTCTGCTACATTCTGTCAGTTCCTCAATTCAAACTCTAATGAAAGCAATATATATTACAACTCCACTCGGAATACTAAAAATCGTTTTTACAAATTTGAAAGAATCTCAGGATTTATATTTTTTGAGTGAAACCCATGGGCTTCTTCAAATCTGCAAATTGTTTTCACATTCTGGATCCAGAAAAGTATCACAACACAGGTTAATAATTGAGAGTTTCCAAGGCATGTTTCAATAACATACTTTTAAACATTAATATTGATAACAACAACAATTGTTTTTAACCGTTTTGCTACGGGCTGGTCAAAAAGTGTACGTCATGACATTTTAGAGAGCTATTTTCAAAATTTTATTAAATAGCTTTGCTATTACTTATGTCAGAGGGATTCACATTGAAATGAAGATTATATTTCAAATTTCAATATTATACATGTTTTAATTTCTTAATTTAAAAGGAAATATAAAGAAAAAAATGATAAATATTATTTTTGCATGTCACCTAACACTTCCTGTTGTGTTACTGTTCAGTTTATAATTAATTACGCCTACCACAATGTGTGTAGTAGTTAACGAATTAGAAACTCAAATTGGAGATACTGACAAGTTATGATTAAAAATAAGAACCTCCTATTTCTTTGATTTGCTGAGGTATAAGTATATTTAGCCAATCTAGTAGTTTGGCTCCACTTACTACTCCAGTCTTTCAAAACCTCTTGTCTAGTCCCACCTACTTCTATTTTTCTAAGAGTTTATAACCAATAGAAAAAGCAGTTATTTGTGTGCACAAGTCTTATAGCCAATTGTAAATAGCGTGAAGGATAAAATGATAATTTCACCTAAACTGTTGACGTGTGATGGCTAAGTTGTTGCTCTGAAGAGAAACAGGATTTTTTAAAACTCGTATACAGCTTCTTTAGACACCCAAATAAATTACAGGTGTTTTGTGTGCACTAATATAGTAAGTTGATATTTCTTTTATATTTTATATATGTATTCGAAACGTTAAAAAATCAATAGCTCTACACCCTCCAATCGGAAGAATAAATTAAGCTTATGGCCAGTCTTAGCAGGTGCAACGCTCAAGCACAGTCTCATAACCACCGTAAGTACTCAAAATCTTCATTTTTTTAAGTATATTTTCTTTATTCTCGTAGGTCTTAAGGAAAATAACTAAAATTTGAGCATTTGTGAATAATATTTGCTGAAAGAGGAGTAGGATTTCACAACCATGTTCTCCAATAAGATCTTTGTACACCTATACAGTATAATGCTAAATTTCTAACATCCCAGAAGGGTTACCAATATTCCAAGAATTGCAATGGTTATTGTATCGACACCGAACCATATAATAAAGATTTTGACAGATTCAAAGTGCAGTCTTATTGCTCTGGAGAATACATGCTGTAAAACACTTTAGGATACATACACAAGCCTTTTCACAGATTCTAAATACAGTGTGGTTACTAAAGTTAAATTCCTAGTAAACACTGTAAGATATATAATCCGATACATTAGACAACCTGTTCTCGGAGCAGGGGTGAAGTCAGCTATCCCTTCACACGTGCTTCGTTGCTTTCAAAGGTATTGTATTATGGAGTCACGTAAACAGTACACTGACACAATCGTCGATTTATTGCTTAATTTTCAGTGGATTTGTACTTCAGTCATAGACAGTAAAATACACATAGAAAATAAATGTGAAATGCTTAACAGTTGAAACTCTCAAGAGAAGTACGTTAAAGTCTTATGAGCAATAATCAAGAACAGGGCAAAGCTTCTCATTTTATTTCTGATTTTACAACTTTTCTTTTCATTATACTTTGATGATTTGTCTACTGGCAGAAGAATAAAATATACTGTTAGGATAGAGGTAATAACAGATTAAATATAAAGTTTTATATTTACTAAGGAGGTTTTAGCAATCACAAAAATGAAGGTTGAGATTTTTGAGACAATGAGAAGTATTTTTAATCTTTACATAAAAATCACTTTACTCTTTGAGTACTAAAAAAAAAAATTCAATTATGCACAGACAAATTATCAAAAATACTTCATTAAAAAACTGATTTTTTTTGTACAAATGATATGTAATGTTTACTAAAAGTCTGCCAAATTTTGTGAAAGTACACATACTGTATTTAAACGTATAATATTAAAACTATATACAAGTAACAATGGTCATGTGGTTGGTCCTGAGACCGAGTGCGTTTTGACAGAGTTAATTTGCTTATTAGGATTTCTCAACCTTTCCAATTAGTTATTTGACATAACAGCTGTCCATAGCTTTGTGTCTTACACCTCCACCAGTTGAGAATCACTGTTACAGATTAAAAATATAAATGAACAGAACACACAGATATTTTAATAGTTACATGTGTATGTATTTTCAACAACAATAAAGTAAAGATAGCATGATTAGGATTTTTTAGAAAAGTTCCTATTAGATTTATATAATCCATTACACTGTCACAAAAAAACACGACTTTCTCTCTATCTGAAATTCAAGATGAAATAAAATATAAGTATTGGGTAATGTAATTCAATGCTCTAATAAATATCAAACTACTTTTCTTACCTGGCTGATCTAGATAAATAGGAAACAATGGAATGATACACTGTATAGTTTCTTGTAGGCTGTGGTAACACAGTTGTTTTGTTCTACTAGTGGCATCTGTTATATTCTCTACCAAATCATGAAGTACTCTTATCATCCCTTTAACTGCAGGTTTAGCTGTAAGGGAGAGAGTTAATTATAAAAATTCACAAAATCCCATTTTCATGTATTTAATTACGGATTTAGTTGTAAGAGAGAGATAATCATTAAATGACTACAACAATTCATAATTTGGAGAAAAAATTACAGATATATAAAGTTCCAATGAGCTACATCATTGACAGAAATTGTAATATCCAATAACCATTTCTGATAAAAAACAATATCATCTCATATCAAGCCAACGAAAAATAAGAATAGTATTCATTAACACAAACTATTTTTTCTGGCACAACCTTGTAGATGAGCTCCCTTATCCTGCGAAAAGTTTGAAGATTCCACAATCTGTCTAAAAGGAGAAGTGAGAGCATGGATAAACTGTTGATGATGAGACGACCGAGAATCCCATTCTTGCTCATTATCTGGTACATTCGGCCATGGTAAGAGCAACATGTTAGAAATAGCTCTGTAAGCTAACTGTTGAGTCTGCAATAAAAAATTCAACATCAGAAAAACTAAAGTATTTAGTTCAAACAATATCAGTGTATTTTAACTCGATACATCTTATTTTTATAGTTTCTCAGGATAAGTTGTATAGTATATAATACTAAAGCTGGCAAAAAAAAGATCTCTTAATTAAGAGTTCTAGATGTAATGAAATAGCACATAAGTTTGATAACTTTAAACGTATGTTCTTGACTGTCTCAATAAGTGTTTCTAGTAAGCATAGTTAAAACAATTTGTCAACTATATTTTGTTTTACTAGTGTAACCATAATGGCCATGTGAACATCCAGTAACTAACAGAGGCACTGCACACATTATAGATGAATGCAAAACTTTCCCAAAACTTGTCTAATTCAATACATTTTTGATGCTGTATGTATTTTTAACAGAATAAATTCTTGTGCATTCTTTTTCCTACAGTAAGACTTGTAAAACATAAATTCTAATACCATAATCAATAGCATACATAACATACCTGAAAGACACAATGGGAACCATTTATATGCAGTATGAATACTTATGGACACATTAACTTAAACCATTATCATAATAATAGGTATAGGTTTTTTTATTTCAAATAAAATCAAATTTGAAACATGATTTTAATATTCTGAAGAGATAAAAAAGGATCATAAACATAGGAGCACTGCTATTTTATTAAAAAATAAAAGGAACCTCACATAATTCATAACAAACATAAATGCTGCCATAAGAATACTACAGTAGATAATCTTAACCATGTTAATATATATACTTTTGATAATCACATTATAATCATGGTAACTGTTATTGGTTTACATAAACTTTATCATTCACTACAAGTCTATGCCCTGGTTCGGACAATACATGTTCAACAATTACACAGCATAAACAAAACAAAACAAATTTCACTCCCAATCTCTGTCCCCAATGTACCCATGGGGAACATAAGATTTTGCAGGAGTTTACTAGTCCTATTATTTATTCCATATAGACATGTTTGCTGGCAACTTTTCTATTTCTAACAAAGACATTACTTTGGAACTGGTTCCTATTTTTTAAGAAAGTTGGCATGTTAATGCATATCACTGGTCCAAAAAGATCCTGAACACTGAAGCATTCGACAACCATTACCTCATCATGTGGGTCCAAACGGGTTAAGTTCCTGCTTGTCCAAATATCAACTTCTTTTTACAGACAGTACATGAAATTTATCTATGTGACAAGTATATTTTCTACACATTATTCAGAGATTTTACAGAGGATTAAAAATTCTTTGCTTGGCGTGTTATCCTTCAATTTAACAAGTGCCAAAATGAACTGGTTTTCAATGTTGTTAGTGTTCTCTATCTATTATTAACTGTCTTGTAATTCTCCAAGTCTGTGTAATAGTGAATAATGTCATCTTCTTCATAGAACTTTTCAATGAAAATTGAATGCCACTCTGGTGTTTAGGTTTGTGATGTTACAGCAGTATTATCCTTGTCTTCCTTCAATACTAGTCCTAACCATCTCTTCAAATAGTGCAATATCTTTTAATAAATGAGTCTGTTTTGGGCTTGAAAACGTCACTTGTGCCTTTGTTATCTCTGAAGCTTGGCTACAGATAGTACTTTTGATCATGCAAATATTAGAGACAGCATCATTCTTCAGGAAACCATGAACTGGTTTTGACCCAACAACAAAACAGAGTGGGATTTTAATACACGATCTGAGATTCAATAAACATATAACAAATACAATTGTACTTCAATAAATATTTTCAAAACATGGCAACTGACACATTTTGCTCTAGTTTACTATCATCAACTATTATTTGGTTAGAAATAGTGTATCAGACTATTTATTTTAACATTTCCTTGCGGGTATGATATTTTTATGTTCTGTACCTGTATCATATCATTGAAATTTATCTCATGTAATATTAATAGCATTTCTAACTTATCACCTAGCTGACTTGCTTTATTCTATCACCTTTTTATGGAAAATATTTTCACACATGCTTTGAATAGCATTTAACCCTACTACACATCTTCCGTACTACATAAGGGTACAGTGAAGTTTTACATCGACTTACTGATAATGATATTTGCATGCATGCTAAATTTAGCCTAGTTTTAGCTACAATGTCAAAGAATTTAACACATAATATTATAATAATATACGGCACAAACTACTGCAATGTATAATGATAATCATCTCTCCATGATTTGTTAATTTTATAATCAGATTCTCCATAAAATGACTAACAACAGGGAATGCTACCTGTAGTGAGCTGCCAATTGTCTCTCCATGTTACAATTATCTATTTTCCTTCACTACAGATTCTCTTGGAAAATTTCACTGTGTTCTGAAAACACTTTGGAACATTTCACTGTGTTCTTGACATTTTCAAGTTGTGTTTAAACAATATAATTGGAAAAAATAACGTTTAACTCTCAGTATAATATACACGAGTTAAGTATTTATACTATAAATTTATTGCTGTAAGTGTATCTTCATAAAATTTAGTAAACTTTTAGTAAAGATTATAAGTCTTTCTTACACAAAAAATCAGGTTTTTTGATGAAGTATTTTTATTATAGATTTGTTTGTGAAAATGTCGAGTCTGTTCCGTTACCAGTACAAGTGCAAAGCAATTTTCATGTTATAACTAAAAAACTATTGTTTGTCCCAAAAATCTCAAATATTATTTGTGTAATCTCTAAAACCTCCTAAATCATTTCAAACGTTTGTTTTCAGTAAATCTATTATATTTTTTCTGCTTTTTGCTCTACCCTAACTCTATAGGGTCTGTCAATTTACTATTTTCATTCTAGAATGACTACTGGTTATAACACGAAAACACAAATGTTTAGTCTAAATAGCTTAAATCTCATAACATTATATATTTATATATATATTTTTTTTAATTATTATTATATTGACCTTCCAGCCATGCCTGGCAAACAATACAGAAGTTACAATGATGCAGCATATGTGCTCCCATGTTACCATATCCAAAAATATAAAACTTACCTTTAATATTTACAAAATGACCTGTCTTGGTTGTGTTTTACTGAACTAGTATTTTGTAAAATACAGTCACATTTCAATTATTATCATTATATATGTATATACTTTAATACTGTTTACAAATAAGTTCTTAAACTTATTTTTCTTAAAACACAGA